GGCTGTGAGGGGCACCCACTTGGCTCAGTGGGTAGAGCGTGTGATGGTGACTCTTGATCTAGGAGTTGTGAATTCAAGTCCTATGTTGGCTGTGGAGCCTACTTTAAAAAAAAGTGCTCTTGTCTATGAATTCAAGGTTAATTAACAACTATACATTAAATAAGGTGTCTTTAAACAAAAGCCACACATGAAACAAGATTATGTATTGATTGGTTGATGATAATGTTGTGACCAGAGGCTTGCAGAACAGAATCCTGAATTTCCCTTAGGAGCAATGGTTCACTATTTGCTAATTCAGTGTTCCGGATGACTTTATGGAACATAACGCCTATGAATAATGATAACTGACTGTGTCTGCAGCAAATATAATGTGCTATGTAAAATATTAGTGACAGAAATACGGCTGTCTTGTTGCCTACATTCATAATAAAAGGAAATGCTCTTTTAGAAGGTCTTTTACTTTTTATTTTTTTAAATGTTTTATTCTTTTGGAGAGAGAGAGCATGAGCAGGGTAGGGGGCAAAGAGAGAGAGAATCTTAATTTAAAAAAATCTTTTATTTATTTTTGAGAGAGACAGAGACAGAGACAGAGGGACAGAGTGTGAGGGGGGGAGGAACAGAAAGAGAGGGAGACACAGAATCTGAAACAGGCTCCAGGCTCTGAGCTGTCAGCACAGAGTCAGACATGGGGCTTGAACCCAAGAACCATGAGATCATGACCTGAGCTGAAGTCAGACGCTTAACCAATGAGCCACCCAGGTGCCCCATAGAGAGAGAGGGTATCTTAAGCAGGCTTCACGCTCAGTGCAGAGCCTGATGGGGGCTCAATCCCACAACCTTGGGATCAAGGCCTGAGCCAAAATCAAGAGTCAGACCCTCAACTGACTGAGCCACCTAGGCACCCTAAGAAGGTCTTTTTTTCCCATTCAAATTCATAAGGACTCTTAATTCTGGGGGAGTAAGGTCCCCATGGACTCTAGTTAAGAATCTCTTTTCTAGTGGGATTAACTTGGTGAGAAAGTAGGGTGGGGAAGCAGTTCAAGTTCCTGGGGCTTAGATCCTGCTATGTTGTGTATCAATACAATCTCATATAAAGATTTTTTAGCTGATCTACTTTGACTGGGGGCCCTGGAAATTTTTTTCACCAAGGCCCAAACCCGAAAGGCTCTATCCCAAATGAAAAATGCCTAGCAGTGGTGGTGGGGAGATAAAAGTTCTTGATAATTGTTAATGCAGAAAATGAGGAGCTCCATTTCAATAGCAAAGGGTAGACAGGTCCTTCATCTGAAAACAGGAGAAACAAATGACAGTATAGTGTTGAGGTATTTAAATGAAGATTATAAAGGAGCCCATGCCTTCCCACCAAGGGTCTCCGGGAGGATGGCATCTTCTCATTGATTGCTTTCCTTGTTTACACTTTCACACTTTTTACCCAAGTGTGATCCCGTGAGGCTAATTTAAATATGTCAAAAAAGAGGCTCCTTTTGTTTTTAAATAGCAAGAAATAATGGTGTGACTTGGAAGGCAACATTAATGTCTCATTCATTCACTCACTCATTCATTAATGTATTCACTCATTCACTCATTCATTCATTCATTCATTCCCTCTTCATTTAGTACTTCTTACTGAGCACTTATTGTGGGGCAGGCATTGTTGTAAGGCTGTGGATACAGGACAGGATATAAATCATGTGAACATGACTGACCAGGGGGTTATCTCCTGGAGCTTCTGTTCTGGTGCATCTGTCCAGGAGGCCACTACAGGAATGAGGAAAGGGGGTGGAGAGGGATGAGAGACACCCTGAGGAAGTCCTTCACTTGCCTCTCAGAGGCTAGTACTCACACACTGATTCTGAAAAACTGGAGGCTGAAGACAGTATCTCAAGAGGAACCAGTGCAGAAATATAAGAATAAAGCTGTCCCCCTACAGCTATATTGTAAATTCTGGACACTCAGAAGTTATAGGAAGTACACAAAGCACTTTATGGGGACAGAACATCCCTAAGCTAGAGAGAAAGACGTGGTTGAATCTCAAAGAAGGAACATGTCTGGAATGGAGTGGAATATACAGATGGAGGTAGAAGTGGACATACCTCACCTATGGGCTCCTGACCCCAGGATGAGGGTCTGGCCTTGGACTCTAGTTCTTAAGGAGACAATAGTGGTATTTAGTACTTATTTCATGCAGTATTTGTGATATATATAGATATATATATATATATATATATGTGTGTGTATATATATATATATATGTGTGTATATATATATATATATATATATATATATATAAGTGAGATGGGAGCACCATTCTCTCCTTTGATTTCATGGGACCACGCTGTACGAGTGAGGTCAGGGCTCAGGATCCAGGCACCTCTGCCTCCCCACCTGCACCTGTTCAAGTGGAGAAGGGGAATGGTGGTACTGGTGATATTCCCCAAGGTGGGGGCTTCAGTCCCTAAGAGAATTTAAATAGGAAAAAGTGGCAGGGACAGAGATAACCTCTAGGGTTGGAGAAATAAGGTGGTTGGCCTCAGGATAATTCAGTTTGGGAACCCCTTCCCTGTACTCTCTGAATCTCCCTATATACTCCCTCTGGTTTCCTCCAATTTTTAAAATAACTCTAGTCCTTCAGGGCCTTCTGGGAAATGACTAGGTCTAAAATGAATTCTCTATCCCCCCAACAAGAGCAACAGCAATGCAAGATAACCAACTTCACAAGTAGTCTGGGAAATAGAAATTAGAATAGCAATAAAGTAGCTTGGAAGCATTTTAAACAGAGGGAGGATGAAATAGAATTCTTTCTGAAGGAATAAAAAATTTTACTGCTGTGTTCCCTGGGTATATCTTGAGACTAAACGATTAAGATTTCAGATTAAAAAAAAAATAAAACAACACTACAACAAGTATTGGTATTTTGGTGCTTAAAAAAATAACATGAGATATTGGAACACCAAAACCAATGATGTACTTACCAAGACCCTGTTAGGGGACACATCCTGCAAGAGGAGACAGATATACCAGGTTTCCAGAGCCCCACACCTCCACACCTCATAGTCTCCAATTCGTTCCCCTCATCTGTATTTCTTGCTGGCACCAAGCAGACTCCTGGCAGCATGTTGGTCTCCTGTTGATCTGCCTCCCCAGGACGTGTACTGGTCATGCTAAACCAAGGATTCTGTCCAAGTGACATAAATTAATGGTTTGACAACATTTTGAGTGTTTTGGCCCCTAAAACTGAAGCTCGCCCGCAAACTGGCAAATTAATCTTGTAAGCAGAGGCAGACTGACCATAAAGCTAATAAAGATTAAGTTTTAGGGTCCCTTCCAAAAGCCTAGAAGGGGACCAAGCAATGTGTTTGCATGGTTATATAGTTTGTAAAATTTGCAAAACTGGGATATTCTAAACACAATTGCTTCTTCTTTGTTATACTTTCCTTTACATCTGGTGGCTGTGGGATAGCCATGGGCATTTGGAGTCAGTTGAAGTGGAGATCCATTTAGGTTGGATTTAGGTTGAAATATTTATATGGTTTGCAGTCATTTCTGTGCACAGCTGGGTTACTGCTAGCCATTGTGGTATAGGAGGGGCTTCCAAGCGTGCCCCTACTGTCCATCAGTATTGTGACAAAGGTGCAGGGCCAATGGGCAGAATCACAGTATGAAATTATGCTACAGCTCCCAGCGTGGGAAGTGTGTGGGTCATGGAGGAGAAACAAGGTGTGAAATGCACAAAGCTAGAAGCTGGTCCATGTCAATGGATGGTATACAGTGAGTGGGAGATTTGGTTTGTATTGGTGCCTAGTCAAAACAGAAGTATAGAGGCGGGGGAAAAACAAAAACAAAAAACCAAACCAAAACAGAAGTATATTCATATGAGGAATATATTCAATAATAAAGCATACACAATTATACACACACCAACATTTTAATTTTGTCTTTATTGAGACAAAGATTTAGGTGCAGGTGGTTTATTTGGGAAGCATCCAAGAAAGCAGGAATGAGGGAGCAATGAGTGATAGAAGGCAGGAGGAGGCACCATCGAAGGCATCATTGCCATGAACAAAGGGGATGATTCTGTCCTTGAGAAGCACACTGAATGCCTCCCAAACTGACCACTAAAGGAAGATGCTGATGCATTTATTCACGGTTTCCTGGGACCGCTGGGGTAGACCTGCCCCACATCTCTGGGCTCTGTCAAGCAAGTTTTGAGGGCAGAATGTGGGAAGATGTGCTCATGGGAGGTGGGATGCTGGCAGTGTGATGTGGGTCTCGATATACACCCACTGACTCCTGAATCCATGGCTGCATCAGATATGGGCAAGGGATGTGACACACCAATGAGAATGGTGTGCAATAGAATTTACCAGAATTCCTGTGCTTATATGGACGCAAAACTTTAACAATACTTGAACAATACTACAAATAGGGAGTGTGACTGTAACAGATCCTACTCAAAAGAAATTGGATAAAGGTCTTCCCAATGTGACAATTCTAAAAGTTTACATGACTTTACCAATAATGAATTGTGGAGCTGCAAGAAACTCTTCTAAATTATCAGTTAAAAGCAAGGCATTTCACTTTTCTTTCCTTTCTTTAGACAATGATATCACCAAATCATTGTTCTGGGAAAAGACGATGAGATTGTGAAGCCAAAGAAAGTAAGAAAACATTTTAAAGAAAGAAAAATTGTCACATTTTTCAATCATCTGGATTTTAAACAAATTTGTAATTTGTTGTGATCTCTTTTCTCATTCTAAATAAACATTCAAGTCGGTAACTAATTTTGTGTTTATAGTCTTGTGCTCTGATGTGAGAGTCCTTGGCAGCCAGCCACAGCCTCCCTAGGGGCAGTACCCACTTGCTGGCCATCTTGAAGAAGCAGCAACAGAGCAAGGACAAGTCCTGGCAGACCAAGACCCGGGGTAAGTTGCCGAGCACTGCTGGACTTCTCATTTGTTTTTAGAACAATTAGCTGTGAAACGGCACACTCTCTTGTTTGGAATGGCATCCAAAACACTTTATTAAAGGTTACTTGGAAGGTCAATTGGAGGGAACTGATCCTTGAAACACACAGAATCACGCTGTCATTTAGATACACTCCAAAATCAGAGAAAATCACTTTTCAAAGTTGCTGCTGGAGGAACCAATGAGTCTGTCAAATGGCAGCCCTATAACCATTTGTTGAATGAATTTACCCAAGTTTTTGCCTCACTGAGCTTTCCAGGAATGCATATCCTGAAGGCACTCAGTGGCCCCCTTGATCTCCAAACACCTGTTCAATCTGAGGGTTGAATGGATTCTCCTTTCCCAGAACCTGGGGCCAATGAAGTTCCACTTTCTTCCACAAGCGATCTGCCAACAGCAGCAAAGCCACCTGCAAGAGAGAACCCAAAGGAGGAATAAAAGGAAAATTACAACAAAATAAAGAATTTAGCAGCAGGATTTATTGTATTCTTTGTATGGTGGGCAGACTCCAGAATGGTCCCCATGATGCCTACATTTGTGTCTTTGTATGATCCTCTTACCTTGATGTGGGTGGGACCTATCACTTGGTTCTAAACATGGGATATGGATGTCACTTCAGTGATTGTGTAGCATTGTCTAAGACTCTGCTTTGCTAGCAGTCTTGCTTGGGAGACTCTCCTTGTGGGATTGATGAAGTAAGAAGGCTTGTCAGGAAGTCCACACGGCAAGGGGCTGACATCCAGCAAGAAGCTGGGTCCTCAGTCCTACATCCACAAGGAAATGAATGAATTCTGCCAACAACCCAAGTTATTCTGAAGTCAATTCTTCCTCAGGTGAGTCTCTGGATGAGGACGTGGCCCGGATGACACACCTGGATGTTAGCCTTGTGAGATCCTGAGCAGAGGAGCCAGTTAAACTGTGCCAGCACTCTGACCCACAGAAACTGCGAGTTCTGGATTGTTTTGAGCTGCTACCTTTGAGGTGATTTTTCATTTAGTAACAGACAGCAGGTGCACATTTTCATTTGTCTGTGGGCAGCTAATACCGACTGCAGGCCTCAGTCTTGGTTGGATCTTGGGATGGATCCTTCCTTCAAGGAACTCCAGTCTAGGGAGGGAACCAGACATGCAAAAAGACACCACCAAACTCACAGGGGGCGCTGTGCGAGGCTGGGAGGGGAGGAGGTGCCAACTCTGCTGCGGGGGGCAGGGAAGGAGGGGCAGGTCCTCTCTGAGGAGGGTGATGGCGGAGCTGAATGTTCAAGGGGAGTTCACCAAGATGGATTACGTGGGAAACATTGCACCTGGTGGAGGACACAACGTGTGTAAAGACAGATGGTGTGGGAGAGAATGGCATTGTGGGCAACTCTGGGGGCCTGGGAGATGAGGCTGCACAGTCACTGGGTTGAAGCAGGCTGTGAGCACGAAGAGTGTGGCTGGGGTGCCAGGGTGAGCAATGATTGGCTTAATGCACAACAGGCCTGTCTCTGGCTTTCCCAGCTTAATGCCCACTCTCAGGTTGCTTTGTTTTACAGCAGGTCTCCCTTCACTCGTGATGTTAGCAGGATCCATTCTTGGTTGTCCAATCCTCTGGCTTGTCATTAACATGCTTGCGATGAGGAGTCTTTCTCTGCAGATAATGCCTTATTTAGCAAATGGGGCCTGGCCAGGCATTGAGGCCCTAGGTGGCTACATCTCCAAAGGGTTTTTTAATACTGAAAGATAAATGTGATTGCTGAAGACCTTAGGGGGGCACACATTATTCATGGCAGATGCTCAGGGATGTCCCCAACTTTACTCAGAAGCATGTGGACTTTGTCTCCAAAGGGCAGGTCCCGTTCACCATTCCCATAGGCAGGGCCTCCAGCTCCCCGTGTGATGTTTGGCAGCCCCCTTCTACTCTCTGGGCTGCAATTCTCTCACTTGCAAAATGAGCGGACTAGAGCAAACGGTCTAAAGACCTTTCTGGGTCTAAATGGTGTGTAAGGTTTTAGCAGTTGTTAGAAAAAACTAGAACTGGCTTAGTTGCTACGTTAAATAGCCCCAGTATTTTAATACATTCCTGAGCCTTCTGAGGTACACCCGAAATTCTATCTATCCAGCAATGTAATCTTGATCATATCCATGTGGTGTCTAATAGAAACTCACCCTACCCACCCACCACATATACACATACCACATACACACCCCTAACACCACACACATCACATCACACCACACACACCATATCCACCCTCTTCCCCCACATCACAGACACACACACACACACACACACACACACACACCCCTCTACACTCATACCACCCCTCCCCCTAGGCTAACTGTCAAGCCAGCAGATTCCTGGGAAGGGGGTGATCATCTCTCACACACTAAGCAATCAGTGTCTTCGAAGCTCTTGTGGCTGTTTTTCCTGCTATTTCTCAACGAAGGAGGCTGCGGCCATGTCTGTGAAAGATCACTGCTTCTTCTTTTATGTTTCTTGCCTTTCTACTTGGTACACCTAAGCTGTCTTCTTAACAATTATGTGAAACCAAGGCATTTGTGGTTATTTATTTCCCAATCTAAATTAATAGAGGAGGAGATGGGGTGGGGATACGAAAAGGAAAGTTAAAAGGAAGGAGATCAGCTTTCAGCATGTGGTAACTGTTTGGTTTGAAAGCAATTAGTTGGCTGTCACTCTAATGGAGATGAAAATATTTATGAATGTGCACTGCTAATATATTGGGTCTAAAGTGAGAGTGGCATGGCTATTATTAAACTAGAGACTTGTGATAAAATGACCCACTATAATCATTCACTCATGTCACAAACATTTACTGAGCACCTACCATGGGCTCTTCTTATAACCAACCTCCTATTATAACTCCCATGATGCACAGGGCAAGGCACAGTCACCCTCTACCCTCATTACTCCAACTTAGCCATTCCTTGAATATGAACCTTCTTCTGTGCTTCCCTAGTCATAGTTTAAAATAGTAAAGCAATACCTATTCACTGGAGAAAAATTTAAAAAGACAATTAGGCAGAAAGAGAAAACAATAAAAGTCATCTGTAATTATAATAGAGGTAGCCAATGTTAACAGTGGGTGTAGAGCCTTGCACGTGCACAGACATACACATACAAATTGAATCCTTCTGTAAATATCATTTTATAATCTGCTCTTTCTGAGGTATAATTTACACACAGTAAAATTAACTTCCTGTGATAAACAGCTTCATGAGTGTTGACAAATGCATACACTTGAATAATCGCCCCCACAATCTGTAATCTGCTTTTATTTACTTTTCTTTATATTACAAACATATTTCTGTGTCACTAAAGGTAGATCTACATCATTGTTTTTATTCAGTGCACAGTACTCCATCACATGGGTGCAAGATAATTTACTTCACCGGTGGAGACTTTTGTCACACATCTCCCTAACGTTTGTCCTCAGGACAAGGGACAGGGACAGCCTCCTCCTGCCAGCATACACAACCTCTGCAGCACGGAAGGGGTTCAGAGGCTGCCTTGCTCAGTAACCCTACCAAACACATGCATGGGATGAAATCTGGTCTAGCAGAAGGCTAGCTCATAGGAGGTTGTAGTTAAGTGGGATTTTCTGGTTAACGGATGTAGGCCCTTCAGAGTCTCTTCCTTTGCAGTTGACTCAGCTGCCTGCGTGCTCTTGCAAGGCCCCAGCTGCAGTGAGTCCAGATAGCTGCCGCGTGGGTGGTGCTGCTCTGGTCCACACACCACTGCCAACTCCAGCAGGTGTGCCCCTTCCTCTGGCTAAGCCCACATCTGAGGAGCACCGGTGCTTTTTTTGCAGGCACATGTGCAGCCTCAGTGCTTTTGTGGGATATTGCCACGCACCTGTCCACCTGCTGCTGCTGCTGTTTAGGGGTCCTCATGCTACCAAATCCATGTGGTGGTCAGGGGTCCACCGCAAAGGCTCCTCTTTGAGGTTTTCATGAAAGGAGCAACAAAGCAGGGTGACTTAACGCCCCAACGTCCTATGTGAGTTTGGCAAAACAGGTCTTTCAGTTTTTATCTGTAGCCCCAGAATCTCTCAGGATTGAGGTGTGAGTCCAGAGAGAGGAGGATGGGAGGAAACTGGTGTAGTTTCTTGATTGGAGTCTTGCTATTAGCCACCATATGGCTTTTAGAATCTCTCTCCCTTCTGATGACAGTTTTTAAATTGAGCCACACTTCTTTGCTCAACCACATTTATACTTATGCTGAGTTCCTCTCCAGGAGAGCCTCTTGTCCTCCAAGCAAACATAACTGTGTGGGGTCCACCCCACAAGTTCATGAGACACATCTGGACACAGCAGAAGCCCAGCAGTGGTCACTGCTGCACATAATCCAGGATTCTTTCACGTGCCTGTTTCAGAAACTAATTTCATGTATTTTGCTACAAAAATAGAACTCTTTCGTAAGACAACTATAAAATCAAACCCTAAACAGTAACTACCTTTTTGCAATATTTAAAAGAAGAAATGCAATTCAAAGCAAGATTGCATAGGTTTTACCAAAAGCTTATCATCCCTGATCCCTTTTAAGTTGAACCCTGGCTAAATTTAACTCTGGGGTTTTATGAGACCAAAGTTAAAAATGCACTCTGAATTTATTTTTCCTGTAGGAAGAACATTTCTGGGCTATTTTGGTAAGATTGCTTTTTAAACGCCTGCAGGGAAGTCCTAACTAACCACAGGGAAGGCATGGCTTTGCTTCTCGGGGCTCTTAATCTGCCCACAAACACAGTCTATTGGACCTGGTTACCTTTGGTCCCAATTAATTTTAAATTTGTAAACTGACAACATGACAATCATGTAAGATGGATTTAAATACTTACATGTAAGGAAAAAGGTAAAGTCCCGGCTCTAGCCCCTCTGTGCTGACTCAGTGTGTCATTCCAGAAGCACTGCTACTAGCTGGCTTCATGTAGAAAGCAAAGTGAAGAGATATGGTCCCTGGTGCCTAGGCAGGGCCAGCCTAAAATGACTGGGTTTGAGGGTTCCCTGGCCCAGAAGGCCCTCCTCTCCACTCTACCCACTGCCAACATTGCTTCCTTCTTAGAGGAACTCCACAAGTCTGCTCAGGACTTCGGGTTCCCAGGGGCTTACATGCTGAGATAAACAAACCCCTGCAGACTATTAACATTTAATAACCAGTTATAT